AAAAAAACGATGTAAAAGGAAGGATGGAGCATCACATTTTCTTGGAGGTGCTCCGGTCTTAGCTGTCATCTTGGCTACCGTCTCCAGACTTCTAGTGCAGACTCTTTGGCCTCTGCCTTAGATCCTTCAGCCTTCTGGTGTAGATCCATCAGCCTTCCATTGCAGACCCATTGGTCTCCTGATACAGACTGGCATGGAACACTACAGTGAGCTCCAGACGCTGGACTGAATCCTTCAGTCTCCAGTGTGCAGACGCCCTCTGTAGGCTTCCTTGTCCGACTCTGGCTGACAGTCATGGGCCAAGCTTGTGATGTTGTATACATTTGTACATCTTGTGTTATATCTATTCCTTTAGTAAACCCCTGACTAAAACAACCTTCTCCACCACCACCCCTGTGCACACACTCAGAAGTGTACTTCACTAATTAATTGTCTCTTAATCCAGCAAAACTGGACTAAAATGATCACATTTGGCATGGAACTAGCTTTTTAGACACAATCAATATTCCAAAAGCTGGCATTGGAAAGGACACTGGAGAGTGGTGGGAAAGTCACTGGGGGAGATCTTCTCCTGCAGTGGAAGATGCAGGAAGGGCTGGACACAGCTGCAGTTAGAAGACAGAGAAAGAAAAGCCCAGAATCTGGGGAAGGGACAATTTGGACAATGCCCCAGTGTAGGAGAGGAACTGGGTCACGTGAGGGGATTGAGGAGGAGCTTGACTGATAGATGGACAAATGGCAACTGGGAAAGGAGCCATGCCCAAGTGGTCATGAAGCAAGCTGCCCAGTGCCAGAAAGGGCCAGAGAAGGAGGGAGATTCTCATTTGCAAACAGAGAGAAGGCACTGAAAGGACTGAAACTGAAGTGGCCTGGTTCACAAACTCAGCTCATCTCGGTTCACGCACGGAGGATGGTCCGGAGAAGGCCTCAGGCTGTGCTTCAGTGCAGAATAAAGGAAAAGGGAAGGAGGGCTCAGGTGTCTGAGCCAGCCTCTCAGGGAGCAGTCCATTTAGGAAGTGAGAGAAGGAGCTGTCTGAGAGGTGCAGATGCACGGATTGTGAGGAGCTGAATCACAAGGCTTGTCAGAGTTGAAATGTGTAGAGCTGTGTGCCCCAGAAGCCTTACATTGAAGTGGACTGAGGTCAAAATCAATCCTGGATGGAGCATCGATTGGTGAAAACACCAGGAAGGGCAGCAGAGGAAATGGCATCACGGTCTCAGCAAGAGAAGCAAACGTCCCAACAACAAACGGAGATGAGAAGATCTAGATGAGCTCCCAGGAGAGACTTGGACCCCGCCAGCTGTGTTCTCTGCCCCCTCGCGCCCGGTGTGAAGGTATTACCAGTGCAGGCTGGAGGGCCGGCTCTTCTGACAATTAAGCATCGTTCAGCATAATGCAAGCGGTGCTGGCACAAAGACTTGGATCTCGCTCCACCACACTCACCTTGAAATTACTTTCAATTTTTGCAGTTCACCAGGTATCACATATGAACCATATCCCACAGTGCGAAGAAGCGTAACAGCGCTAGGACTGCCATGACCAAGTCAAGCTCTGGGTTGGTGATCCCCCTACTCAAGGGTGTCACCTGGCCCTAAATGGAAAACATCCCACCAGGGAACTTCCCGAGTCTCACTACCCACCAGACCTGCCTGTGGCTTGAGTTCCGCATGAGAGAAGAACCATGACACTCCTTTTATGGCCTGGATTATTTTATAAGACATTCTTAAGATATCATTTTTTGCAAGAGAGAGAGAGAGGCAAAGAGAGAGATGAGGGAGGGAGGGAGGGAGAGAGGGAGGGAGGGAGGGAGAGACTACACTCATGATTTTGTTTGTTTTTGGAAACTTTCATCGCAAAGCTTTTAGCAGGTAGTGGGGCTCAGGCCCTTCCCCACCCCTGCTGGATATTTTGCCAGTGAACATTAAAAACTGAATAGAATAACTTTAAGCCACACAGACTAAAGCTTTGTGGCCCAAAAGAGATGCTCTAGAGTGTTCACAAGTCAGCTGAAATCAATTCAGCAAAAGGGACACTAATGGGAGGAATCCACGTCCCCCCCCCCCCCGGGGCAGAGCTCATGTTCCCCACATGGACGTGCAGCCACTCGGCCTCCTTCCGAAGAGGACATTCTGTTTCCTACAAGGGAGTCTCTTAAAAGCACACTGCAATGCTTTGGCTGGTTATATTGTTTGGCAAAAAGCAAGTCAGACAGATAGATAGATAGATAGATAGATAGATAGATAGATAGATAGATAGATAGATAGATAGACAGACAGACAGATAGATAGATAGATATGCATATGTAATAAGTCAAAACCAATAGCTCCCTTCTACCAATAGCTCCCTTCTAAGGGCAATCTTCCCCCTAGGCAATTTTTAAGAATTTATGTTTTTGTTTTTGTTTTCTAGCTGGTGTTACCAGCTTCTTATCGCTGCAGGCCAGGGATCCTGCTAAACATGCTGCAACATGTGACAGGGACAGTGCTTCTCCCATAGAAGTGGTGTCATTACAGGCCCCCATAGCAGTATTACTGAAGTTGAGAAACTCTGGCCACCTTAGTGAACTTGGGCTGAACGTATAAATCTTTATAGATCTTGAAACATCAAATCAATACATATTATAATGGCAAAGCGAAGACTGCATCTTTATCCAAACATGTAAATGCATGCTGGGCCGCTGGATGACAGAAAGCGCAGATGCTGCCTTTGTGAGGGTCTTTGTGTGTGTGGTAACCCACACACACTCACGCGGACACACACCCAGAGGGCTGGGTGTCAGCCAGCACACACAAGGCTTTGCACACAGAAGACCTCAACCTGGAAGTCTGGTACCTTGTCTCATTTCTCCAAGAGCAGGTGACTAGTTTCTGGCCCAGAATTAAAGAACGCCATCTGCTTCCACGTGGGGAGGACACACTTTGTCCCAAATGCAGCAGCAACTGGATTGCTCCCATTTGATGCCATTTTTTAAGAAAGGGATGCTAGCATTGTGCCACTTTTGTCAGAGGATACTGCAATGTCTGGGACCCCAACAGTGGTTCTCCTATGTGTGCTGAGCACAGAGAGCCCAAGGACCAACCCAAGAGGCGGTGGATGGCACAAACTAAAGTGACAAGACTTGGATCCGTAGAACTGGCACCAAGCTACCCGGTTCTAAAGTCACCTTCCCCCACACTGCTGGGTGTGAGCGGTAAGTTGTTTGATTGCCATATTACATGGAGTTAGCTGTAGTCAGGTGCGTGCCTTGTATCCTGTCTGAAAATGTCATGAAGTGCTAGTAATCTGTTTCATAATATACAATACAGAAGTTAAGTAAAACCTGTGAGCTCACACACGCCTACGACCCAATGTCAGATTTCCTTGATTTCAATCAAACGCAGGGAAAAACCACACGATGTTGATGAATGTTCATATCAATAGCCCTGTTGTGGTCTACTGTACCGAAAAGCTCATACACTAATACTAAAGAGCCACGCAATACTCTTCCAACCATTAACTTTCAACCAGTCGCTTTTATTTATTTTAGGAAATAGCAATCTTGTTTTCCTTTCTCAAGTGTGACCATTTGTACACCGGCACACAATAACCAGGCATCACAAACTCAGGAGCAAAGACACTGGGTGTGGCTGCGGCGCTTACCGTTGAGCCACTTGGAGTTGTACTGTGCAGTGCGGAGTGGTGGCAGGGCGCCTAGACTTCGGTAGATGGCAGGATCCCGCCCTGGAAAGTCCATGGCTGTCGCAGCGTAGAGCTCCCCTCCGGCTGTGAGCAGGGCTGTGGAATTGTGCTGGGGACTGTAGGGACAGCGCGCCATGCCACTGATCTGGTCATGGATCTCGGTCAGGTTACTCAGCTGGGAACGAAGAGAAGAGGGAGACGGATTGTCCTCTGGGAAGCCCCACTGAAGGCACTAATGGATTACATTCCCCACAGTCACTAGAGAGGTGCAGAGCATAAACTCTCTGGGGCACGTAAGAGATGACAAACTGTTCACTCTGACTTTATGAAAACAGCCAGCTGTGGTCCTGGTTAGCAAATCTATCAAACGCTCTGTTTGGCCCCATCCCAGAAGACTTCATGAATCTCATGTCACTGAACACTTGCAAAGGCTGAAGTAAGATTACTTTAGAGATGGCTTTGATTTATAAATGCATGGTTATTGCCTATTTTTTCACTTTAGTAAAGAACCTAAGTTCAATATGTATAAATACATAAATCATATTTTTTAAATTTTAAAAAATCTTTTATTTATTTATTGGTACAGGGTCTCGCTACATAGCTTGTACTCATAGGGACCTTCCTGTCTCAGCCTCCCGAGTGCTAGGATTACAGGCGTGCGCCACCACGCACTGTGTCGGGGTTTAGAGGCCAGCACAGCATGCGGTACCGGGGATAGAATTCAGGTCCTCGTACTCGCCAGGCAGGTGCGTAGACCAGGGCTATCTCCCTAACCCATCATAAAATTATTATAATACTTTATCGATGTAAGTGATTCAGAAGATTATGACTTTACATGCTGAGCCCACAGGTAAGGATGAGTGCATACTCCAAAGCACCGCAGTGCACACGGATGACCTGCATATACAAACACACTTTTTAATTTCAGGTTTCAGAGAGCCACCTACCATCATACCGCTATACAATGCTCTTCTAATCATTAGAATTAAACCCGTTATATTAGATCTGTTTAGAATATGAAAGTTTTGTTTCTCTTTAGCAAGCATGGCAGTTTGGTTACCAGCAACAAATAACTAAGTGCTATAAGCCCATGAGCTGCAGGTGTGACTGCAGGGCCACTGGACAGCCGCTGAGGCTGTCTTGTATGAATGCACCTTCCTAAATGCAGAGTTTCCAACCACCCATCTGTTGAGAAAAACTCCCTGCATACTGGAAGATCTTGACACAAATGAATTTGGTTTCCCAAATTTCCTTTCAGCAGTGAGCGAATCCTGCAGATGTTGCTGGTTGGAAGCAGGCTCCCTGCTCACTTTGCCATTGGAGACAGAGTCCAGGGATGCAACCGCAACTCCTCACATCTCAAGGTTTTCTTCTGTTAAAGAAGGATTCTAAAGAGCAGGGCCCTCATGGGTGGATGCTGAGGACTGAGTGACTGCTGCTGATGTCAGGGTAAGGGTGGGTGTGACCCCGGGAGAGGAGAGCAGTGTACCTCTTTCTTCTCTTCCTCCTCATTCTCTTCCTTGCCCCTGTTTCCAATATCTGAGTATTAACTTGAAAATAATGAGTGTAACAACAGACATTAACTCAGGTGTTTTTTTTTTTTTTTTTTTCCTAGAGCTGGGGGTTGAACTCAGGCCCTTGTGCTTGCCAGGCAATCGCTTATTCTACTGAGCTATCTCCCCAGCCCAATAAATTCAGGTTACGAGCCAAGTAGTGCTTCTAGGAAATTCACATAATGGCATTTCCTCATGTTATTCCCCAAGGCAGATTAAATTAATATCCTGAATTAGGAAGATCAGACAAGAGCCTCACGACCCTGGCACGCTGCTGCAATAGGATGTGTGCTAAAAATTCTGACCGCCTATAGCTTCACTTGGTTTATGGTACAGTTCTTCTGGTATCTTCTTTGGCAATCTTGTCCTGCAATTTGTAGGTTACATTTTCTTTCACTGGACTGGGATTTTGTACTACCATAATACTTAGTAAGGGCAGGTAAGATAGCTCAGTGGACTAAGTGCCTGTTTGGGCAAGCAAAGGGACTAGGGTTCAATTCTTGGCACCACAAGCTGTGCCAGCCCCACCCCAGTCATGCTGAGCCAGACAATGAGACTAGGGATGGCGGCACATACCTATAATCCCAGCTCTAGGGAGGCTGAAAACAGGAGCATCACTATGAGTCCCAGATGTGTAATGAGACCCTGTACTAAATATATTTTTTTTAAAAAAGACTTACTAATAATTCTATTATAAAGCACAATATGCAAATATAATATGTTTATGATTCATGACTGGGCTCACTACGAAAAATATTCATTGAAATAGTTCAGAAATATTTAAATGTATTTATATAGATCATAATTATTTTGAGGTCTTTATATAATTGATTAGAGATTAATTAATAAATCAAATATTTATTCAATTTTATAAAAGTTGTTTTAAAATAAGGAGCAATTCCTTGATATTCAGGGATTCATTTAAAACTAAGGTTTTAATGGAATGCTTGGCTTCGTATGTTAAGTTCTTCTGAGACTCAAAATGAAGCCATACCGAGCGGTTGGTGCACACAGGTGTGAACGCGTTGGTCCCACAGGTAAACAACCGGTCGCCACCCACCAAAAGTACCCGGATGTAGTTCTGACACTCCTCCTAGAAAAAAATAAAATCAGAAAAAACAGGTTAAGAAGACCTGAGACAAGCGGCATGGTGAATCTCAGTACATTTTGTCTGGCTCATAAAAATAATGAAGCTTCTCTGATGTTGACCAAAAATAATAATAGAACTGTGCCAGCCCCACCCCAGACCAGTTTAATTATTTTAAACCAAATTTCTGTAGCTACACACTTGTTCCCATAGAGCATTTGTGTACGGAAAACATCACATTCAAATAAATTATCAAGTCATATATGTTCTTTTAACATGGGTTCATTTTGAATTGTAGAACGGACTTTTAAATTTTCTTGGACATGTATGGAAATGAACAAATTAGATGCTGCTCAGAAAACAGTGCCTTGGCAAACTTCCTCAGGGCTTCAGGCAAATGTTGCAAATGCTTCTCCATAAGATTGTATGGAACTGTCTACCAATTGGAATTCATTTTTGAGAACTCAATCTGCATTAGGTACAGAGGCAATATCTACAGAAAACTTTGTTGATTGAAAAGTGAAAAAGAGAGAGAGAAAAAAAGGACTCGAATAAAGAAAGATGTTACAAGACATAGAAGACCAAGCCCCAGTACTGACGGATTGGCAAAGCATTCGGAGAAGATTGGTGATACGGCCATTGCAGTGAAGGCAGTGAGCTATGTTAGGAAGCTCCTCATCAACGGGACTTATGACTACCCACACTTTGCCAGGCACAGAGACAGAGGGCACAGTGGAGGCACAAGAATTCAGGGTTGTGGCATTTACTGTGGACCTGTCCATTGAGGAGGGCTAGAGAGAGGGCTTACTGCCCAGCTCCAAAGGGCAGGGGTGAGGAGGCCACAGGGATGAGCTGATGTTTCTCATTCACCAGACCCGCCCTTAAGGTAGCCTGTGCTAGCCAAAGGAGGAAAAAAAAAATCCTTCTCAACTTTGAGACAGCGTGGTGGTGCCCACCTATAATCCCAGTTCTTGGGAAGCTGTAAACAGGTGGATCACTATGAGTTTAATCTAGTGGTGAGACCCTGAACACCCTGTAGACCCATCCCTAAAATACAAAAACTAACTAACTAACTAAAGTAAGGGTAAGATGTAGCGAGGGTTTCTGCAGTTGCGCACTGAATGCATGCAGGACTTTACTAAGTCAGGAAGCCCAGAGAGGGGACCGTACTAAGGCATGGCGGGCAGGGAAGGCACGGCACCTTCACGGGGCACAGAAGCGTCAAGGCGTGAGATGAGTGGGACTGGGAGCAAGTTTGCGCTGGCCTCTCGGTGAGATGGGAAGGAACCAATAAAGTTTGCACGGCATGAAGTTTTAAGTCTGTCTCATGTTTGTCATGAATGCGCCACTGAATAAAGAAAGTAGAAGATAAGCCAGACGCGGGAGACTAAACTGATGGAGGCCACTTTCATAATTGCAGCTCCTGGTGTGTGGAGAGCAGAGGGACAGTCAAATGTGAAAAGACAGAGCCAGAACCCGGCGAACTGACAGGACCTGGCAGCTGGGCTCAGCAAAGCCTCGTGATGCTCGCGTTAGTTGAAGCTCAGGAAGCAGAAAACACCGACAATCTGGATGCATTGGGGCAGCAGGCCTCTCGGCCTTCAGGGAAGCCCCGTCCTACCGGCACTGCTAAGGGGCACCCTCGAGCCTGAGGCACAGCTCAGCTTTGAGCATGCAAAGTGCTCAGGTGTCCGGATTTACTTTCTAAATGAGAAATGAGACACCAAGAGTAGACACTTCTCCTGACAGCGTCACTAACCCTGACAGCAGCAGATCATCCTTGAGGGCTAAAGCAAGATAGCAACAGCGAACTTGATCTAAATTAGCTACCAGAAGAGGCCAGAAGGAAGTACAAGTGGTGACAGTACATGGGGTGACTCAAGAAGGTACCGCAGCTTTTTTGTTTTGTCCTGTGGTGTTTTCATAACTCATGGAAAAAAGAATTTAATGATAGACTTCTAAGAACCATGCAGCTTTCCAGGTGGAGCCTAGGGAGGGGCAGCAGAACCCCACTGTGGGGCAGCGACCCTGGGTCAGCAAGCTCCGGGTCAAAGTGAGGAGAACTGGGTGTGCTCCCTGGCTATCCTGGGTGACACAGACATGATAATGACATGGTGACAAAGCCAAAGGTGGAAAATCACACACAGAGCACAAGGGCAGACATTCATTTTTGTTTCTGTTGCTGCTTTAAAACCTTTTCAAAAACAGGATAAGATGTGCAACAGTTCTTTTTGTATTTTTTTTAAAAGCCAGAGCCTACCACAAGGTACAAATGCATCAGAGGTAGTCACTTAACCTTGAACAACACAGCCAAGGGTAAACTATTCCCTGAGAATCATCTGGATTGAAAAGATAGGATCAAAGCTGAGTTCTACAGACCTTGGAGAAGAGACTGCAAGAGACTCAATTATAGTCAATTATACAAGAGGAGCAAACTAGACAGCATAGGGTGTGTTGATCCTAATCTCCCAAAAGAACAAAGCACAAATGAGACTGCAGGTTGGAGCCGTCCTGAAGACACAGCTCAGCCTGTGGGGACCAGATTGCTGACTGGGTGGTGATAACCCGGATGTAGAATCCCACACTGGAGAGGAAGGGTGAATGGTCCTGGTAGTTTAAAAAGGAAAAAACATTGAAGAAAGAGGAAATGAGAGGATATCAAATTATTTGGAGCACAGAAGAGGACAAAGAATTGTGTTCTAATAACGAGCCATCATGTGGACGACAGTGTCTGCCTCTGAGTTGTTTCCTCCAGCTGGGTGTTGAAAAAGGAGGACAGGGATCCATGCTAGTACCCAGAGCAGCCAGTCAAGAACGGAGCACAGCATCTTTTTAAAAGGAAGGATCGGGACCGAGGCAGCTCTGCAGAATCCAGAGGAAACTGCAGAACTGAATAGAGAGAAGGGTCGTGTTCTCCTTGAAAGCGGTCACCAGTGAGCCTAGGCCAACCCGTGCTCTGGTGGGCATCCTTCCGCAGCCACTGCAAGGGGTACAGGCCTCAGCCTTCGCGCTCAGTCCTCCAACTCACCCAGCTCGGAGCCCAGCTCCTACCCATGGCATCCTGGTCTCAGTCGATGGAAAGTTCCCTTGGATTTAACTCACACACTACTTCCCTGGTTCTAGGAGAGGCCAGAATGTGAATCCTACACACACACGCACACACACATACACACACACACACACGTAAAATATGCAACTTGTTTTAAAGAGAGATGATGAAAGAAAATGGTACAGAGTACCAGACTTGTGTAATAATTAGTTACCTTTTGGTGGGGATTCTAAGACTCAGATTCCACTGTAGAACATCACCTGGCAAATTGCTCTGTTAATCTCCGCTACAAACTCAGCCTTTACTTGGTTTATCTGAACTTGCTCCAACTATTGCTAAGAATTATCATTTTGATCTTGGGGCCCAATCTTTATGGAAGTCCCCTAAGGGAATTCTTCTGAAGGTTTCTCTTACAAATCAGCATATTTAAATGTCTTGGATTTTCCCTTTCTCATCTAAAATATTTTTCTTCTCTTCCATTTCTGCCCCTTGAAAATTGTGCTCAGGCACTGGCTATCTAAGAGGTCACAACGTACATCTCCAAGGCCCATGCAGCCCACCGTGGCTGCTAATGAGGGTCGCCTATCTGCATTTGGATGACACCATTTGGACATCAAAGTAACCTCCGTGTGCCTGTGATCCTCCAGGAGGCCAGCATGTCCTTGACTTCTAAGACAGCATAGGGGGTACTGGTGGCAGCCAAGAGGCACAGTCCCTAAGTCACAGCAATGGCTTTCTGATGGGACCAGCCCAGGTCCCCTCGGTTTCAAGGATGCTGTGCCCCTGAGCCAGCTCCAGGAGAGAAAGTATATATTTTAGGGCCATTTTCTGACTAAGTGGTTTTCCCTTACAGCCTTTCACATTGTTATTTCCTTTTCTAAATAAATCTTTTCTGGTTCCAAAAGTCCATGCAGCTGTATACAAAGAAGGCAGGAGACAGCGGCCTTCTCGGGGTCCCCTAGGCGGCGCTCTGGGCACCACCACACCTGCGCCTTTAGATGAGGGGCTGGCATCCAGGCAGGCTTATGTGAAGCCCAGCGTCCTGCTTCAAAGCGGGGTCTTTCTTACAATGATACATTTATCGTCGCTGCCTGAGCCTTTAACCAACCGTAATCACAGTCGCCAGCTGGGACCTGAAAATCCTGCCATCCCATCAGATGTACACACGTGTGCGGCAACAGTGCGTACATGTGTATCCGAACGGCAAGCGCAGCTCTGTGGTCCCTCAGCATCTGTGGGGGCCGACAGCAGGACCTCCTCACAGAACCATATCTGAGGAGGCCCCAGTCCCTGTAAAGAATTGGCATACAGCTGGCATACATCTTCCTGGGTATTTTCAGTTATCAGCAGATAATTTCCAAGATCTGAGACAACGCAAATACTAAGGAAGCATCGTCTCCCGCAGGAAATCATGACTAGAAACACTCAGTACATGTTTGGTACAGATGCAGATTAACATTTCAGTCTACAAATATAGATTTGTATTTATTTACATACACATATAAATATACAGACATAAATGTGGACACACTTATATAATTGCTATATACTATGTAATGTATAGTGAAATTATATGTTAAATATACTATATTTATTTACATACTACTTTCATTCTTCTTTTTTTTTTTGTATTTTAGGGAAGGGTCTACAGAGTGTTCAGGGTCTCACTATTAGATCAGACTCATAGTAATCCACTTGTTTACAGCCTCCCAAGAGCTGGGATTACAGATATGAGCCACCACACCCAATCTCAATTGTAGTCTCATGGTGCCCTGGGGGCGGGACCAGCACAGCAGGCCTGGGGATTGAACCCTGGCCCCCGACCCTGCTTACAGTCCCTTTAATCTGCTGAGCTATTTGGCCAGCCCCTATATACTATTTTCAATCATATTTATTTTATACTAACATTTAAACACTTTACCAGAAATCTATTCAGTGTGTAAATCTGCATCATACA